AAAAGAAAAAAAAAATTTATATATATATATAGCTTAGAAGCATATGGGTTAAGAAATTTTCCCTTATGAATTTGACTTGTGTAGTTGGAGTCTAAATTTAGCATGTGAACTTAATTTATCTTATTACGTTACCTGAATTTTCGAATCATATCTCTCTACCTTGTCTAAATCTACATAAGATAAATTATTACCTTTATTCTAAATATTTATTGTCTGATAGAATATAGTTTGGTTAAATGGTTTGTTTTAATATCTATGTTTTAAGTTTGATTTAAAAAATTTTACTATAATTTCTATGATTTAACTCATGCAGCAAATTAATAGTTTTCTTATGTGACACATTTTTCTTTATAAGTGATAGAGAAATAAATTATGCTAGTATTAGTAAAAGGTATTATTGCATTGATTTCGATGGTATTTGAATTGGATAAAAAGAAAGTCAAAATTTGGTGAATTTTCAAGCGAAAAGAATTTGAGTTAAAAGCATCAATATAAAATAAAATAAAAATGTATGTCTTACTTCACATCTTAAAAAATCCATAAAACTTATTTCAACATTATTTATATTTACTCTTTACACGACGAAAAAGCTATTCAATTTTCTTTATTATTTTTGTTTGAGTCAAATCGTAATACAACTAATTAATCTAGAAACGTCATCTCTAATTAATCTAGAAACGTCATCTCTTTATGAAAGAAAATGCTACATAAAAAGTCGTCTACAATTAAGAATGACAAATAAACTAAAAAAAAAAAAGTTAACGGAATGATAAGAAGTATATTGAAACTTTTAAACCCATAAAACCAAATTGTTTATAAATTAACCACATACTTATTAAACTTGGGATGATTATTTAAAACAAAAAAATTTGATTGGTGTATTTTGTAGTTTTTTTTTCTTGTGCCCTTTGTAGTTTTCCAAGTAAGAAATATATTTTTCTTTTCTTTCTGTTTAAATAAATGACAAGTAGTCTAACCATGTGTTTGTGGACAATAATACCACAAAAATAACTAAAATTTAAAAGATGCCTTTTTGACAAATTAATGATTGGCCAGCTGGCACTTCTCTTCTCCCCGTATGTAGTTTTCCGGATCGATGCCGCGGAATTGACTCCTCCAGCCGATCCAACCCACCCTCACGTGCGCTCTCTCTCTCCTCCACACTTGTCACTCCCACGACTTTTTCAACGATTTAAATTAATCGCCGACTCCACGCTAACCAATCAGCTCCTCCTTATTCTCAATTCCCTCTATTCAAATTATTAACCTTTTTTCCTTCCTACTTACTCTACAATCTTTGAATTTGATTAGCTCATAATTTAATCGCTTTTTAATTCTTAAAATATTTCTATTTCTTTGTACTTCCAGGTACTTATGAGTTAATGTTTTCTTTTATATATGCATTATTTTTTAAAGATATTTATAAATATTAATTACATAATAAGTTCCTATTTATTTTCATTTGTTGAGTAGATTAATAGTTTACAACAAATCATAACATTTTATACATCATTTCGGAGCATGTGAATAATTGCATAAGAAGAAAAGAAGGTCAATCTTAGCATACTTCAATTGGTTAGTGTACTTATGTCCAATCACAAAAGTTGTGAGTTCAAATTCCTACCTCTAAATGTTGTACTAAAAAAATAATAAGAAAATAAAGAGCGTTTGAAAATTTAATTTACAAAAAAAAAAAAAAAACCTTTGAAGTTAAAATTTTCCCTTAACATTTCATCTACTCTTCATAAAGTTTGCATATTGGTTGAATTATTAATTATTGCTAGTATTTAGGATTTAATTAGTGGTAAAACGACAAGAGTATATAGTTTAATTAGTAGTTAAGGCGACATAGCATTCTAATCGAAGGGTCATACTTCTCAGTCCTATTATAGTAAGGTCAATGCACCAGCCAATCCCCACTTTATATGTATTAAAAAAATAAAAATAAAAACCTTTATTATTATTTTGCCATGTAATATCAACTAATTCAATTATCAACTCAGCCAATATATGTGTCCCAATACATGTCTACATTTGTTGCGCGGATCCAAGTTTTCAAAAGCCTTCATAATTTATTTAATTAAAAATTTGAAATAAGAATAAAAATTTAGGGCCCAAAACAATTATTAGAAAAATTGAGACCAAAACCGATGATTTTTGAAATTTCATCGACCAAAATAAAACAATACTCAAATTTTTCGAATTAAAATAAAATGTAAAGTGTAACCACATAGTTGGATAGATTCATCTTCTAAACCTTTATTTTTGTAACAAAATCCCTTTTATCTCACATCATAGAAAGAGAAAGTGAATTGTAAAGCGATTGTACATCTTTAAATCCAAGGTCTTGGAATGGGGAAAAAAGTGAGTATTTATAATCAGATAAAAGCAGATTCAATTAAAGAAAGTGCTTTTTATCAGGTCAATTTGACTTGAAACGTCGTCGTTTGCTAGCTAGATATACCAAGAAAGCTCCAAAGATTTTTCAATATTAAAAAATAAAAAGCGAAAAAGGGTCTGGCCATCTGTCACCCTTCATAATTCCACTTCTAAACTAAAGTTAGAAACCAAAAAAAAGCTTTGCGTAAGAAACTTTTTCTTTTATATTATAAACATATATATCTTATGTTAGTTCATAAATTAAATTTTGCAGTTTTATAAGTCATGTCAAATTTGATAGGAAAATATAATTACACATTTCAAGAGAAAAAAATAAAATCCGATGGAGTATTGAGAATTAAAATTGAATTATGTCTTTGATTAATTTTAAATTATAATTTCAAGGTGTTTTTAAAGTTTACTAAATGATATTGTGTAGTATTAGCATAAAAGTTGGTTGATTTGAATTTCAAATAGATGTTACACTGTCCATGCTATTTTATTTTGCCCATGTTATTACATTGCATAGTAAATATATGAAGTAAAAAAAAATAGTAAATATATATTTGTCTAATAAATATTTTGTATAGCTCATTTAGATAGAATTATATATTCAAAATTTGGAGACATGATATAAACTTTTTCAAAGTCCGGAGATTAAATTGATATCATAATGTTTATGTATTAAAATTATTATTTGACATCCCATGCAAACAAAAATAAAACAAAAAACAAACAAAAGCAAAATAAAACAAAAGCAAACAAAACAATTTATGACGGTCTAATGGAAAATGATTTTAATAAGATGATCTTAACCCACTTATCAACTTATTAGGTGGTTACCGATTACTTGGTAAGTTGAAAACTTTTTAACTTAATTAAAAATTTTAAGTAATTAAGTGACAAATTTAGGTTCCAACTGGAGTTGTGCTATCATGTTTCTAAACTTTTAACTTGGTGTATAATAAATCGGATCTATTGGACATTTTAAAAATTCCACTAAGTACAAACATCCAACTACATGTCTCATAGGTTTAATGAGTTTTAAGCGAGTCAGTGATTTATTTGACGCTTTTTAACCCTAACTAATTAGAGTTGGAAGTTCAAACATGTACTAGACAGTTTGTAAAGCTCGAAAAACTATTAGACACATAATTGAAAATTCAGGACCTATTAAAACTAAGGTTTAGAGATGTGTTAGACACACCCACGAAAGTAAGGACTAAACCTATATAGACTAAATATTAAAATGATTTAATTTAGTCCTTAATCTTTTGAAATTCTCAATTCTATACTTAATATGTTGAAAGTTTTCAATTGAGTACTTTTTTTGTTTGTCAACAAATAGTTGCCAAATTATTATTTCAATAACATATTTGGATACACGCACTTAAACATCTACTTGGAAATTTTGGTTTTTGTTTACAAGTGATTTGAATTTTGAAAACGGATGTTTAGATTCCATGTATCTAATATCATGTTCCTATGTTCCAACGTACCAATAGAACAATAGATTAATGACCAATCAACTTTTTTTAATATAAATGTAAGAGTGTGAGATCAAACCGATAATATTTTGATTTGAAATATATACATTCAGTTAGCTGTCGTGAATCAAACCATTTTTTTTTTTTTGGTTCAAGAAGGAGTAAATTGAGAATTTTTTTTATTAAAGATATTTTAACCGAGACAAAGTGCAGAAAATTGTAATAAATGAATGGAAGGTGCTAATTGGCCATCTGATCCCCCATTCGACTGAAATGACAAATATGTTATCCGCCTTCTTTCTCTCCCTTCCCCCATTATAAATTCTGGTCCATACCCGAAGCCATGGCTTGCCTTAATTAACCGCTTCTCTCTCTCTCTCTCCCTCTCCTGTTCCAGTCACAGGCTCACCTCCATTGCCGCACCGCACACCAAG